CTTGGTCTCAAATGATGTGTCAAGAGATATGAACACATGAAATATTAAATTATGTTTTCCCCTTTTCATTTACTGTGTTCAATCAGATTAAAATAAATTAATCAGTGGAAATTAATATATAATGCACACACTTTCCCACGGGACACTTTCCTCACGTTAACTGGAAATTAACAAAAGGGCTGTCGTAAATTTCAAGTATCAGTTGTTTCCTGCTATGAACAATGTATCACATATATGTGAATCTTCATATACGTGGAACCTCGATTTTCACAGAGTATCATTTCTATATATTCAAAAATTACCACTGATCTATTCGTCTACAACAGAAGTGGCTTTAGCATTTATATCTGTTATCACTACCTCAGAAATTTCTTGCTCAGGAGAGGTATTTGATAGGACAGGAACTTCTAATTGGTTAATTATACTGGTTAATCACTAACTGGTTATCATTTGATGATTGGTACTTTAAAAGAAATAGAATTGTTGGGGAAAAAAATGAATAATATGTTTTATTAATAGATCAAAGATGTATATTTGGTAGATAAATTAGTTACTGAGATTGTTAGTGACTTTATCTATATCTGTGATATTATGGGTTTTTTTCCTGTCCTTTTTTTTGTGCACGTGTGCGCCCTTGAAGAGTAACCTGCTCATGGTGGGTGCTGGGTAATGCTAATAGCTCTTGCCCCCGTGTGGCCCAGGGGTCGAATAGGTCCCCAGAACCCCTTTGCTGGTCATAAGAGGCGACCGAATTGGGCAACCTGTTTGCCGTGGGTTGCGCACTTGTTTTGGTGGAGGAAAGGATTCTGGTGGTTGAGGGCAATGGGAGCCTGGAACCGTGTTTCTTTTGCCCAACATACTACTTTGGCCCTGACTTCACCACGACGGGCCCTGTTCTGTCAATCGACCTGTTACGCCAGCCTGCGGATAGAAAATATTGTTGCACATATTCGATATATTATTTGGTCTTGGTTGTTTGTATGGTCTTGTATCTATGAAATTGCCAAGAGTGCTATGCCAGAATGCGGTGGCTCATGGGTTAATTTGGTGCTGTTGACCGCTGAATTCTATAAGTCTTCTAGGTTATTGTTATGGGCCCATCCGGCCTTACATGCAGTAGACACATATAGCTATTCATGGCATACTTACTGGATTAAATCACGTCTGAATCCATGATGTTAGCATCCTGGTGATTCTGTGCAAATTGACAACGTCCGTGTTGACAATCCGTGGCGGGTGTGGAGCAGTGGTGCTGAAAAAGACAACAACTCGCAATGAGAAAAAAGAGATGACTGGACGAACAAAATCGTTCAAATATGAAACACATCCTACAAACGTTGATTCATGGCCTCAATCTCTCGCAATTGAAGCTACAGACTTTCTACCGATCAAGTTCAACCCGTTTGCCATTTCTAGGGTTATTTCTGGAATTTGTTGAGAGGTTAAAAATGTTACCCGTCTCCGTAGTGTCTCGCTTCTCATGGAGTGTGCACTGAATTTGGTGTCAGTCAAGGTTTTAGCCAATATGGAGGCTGCTGTGTCCGTGCACAGGACGTTAAACTCTTATCGTGGTATCATACGAGACAGGGCTCTTTGTCTCTATGATATGTCAGAGGTGGCATAGCTGCAGAGCTTGAAAATCAGGGTGTCACGGCGGTAAAACGTTTTCACCTTCCAGAAAGAGGGCATAATCACTAAAACGAGCACCTGTCTAGTTACTTTTTCTCGATCTTTCCTTCCACAATCAATTAATGAAGGTTATTTTAACATTGGAGTGGATGTGTATGTCCCCAATCTGCTCCGATGCTACAAATGTCAACATTTCGGTCATGGATCGCAGTCTTGTCGAAACTCTGTTGTGTGTCACCGTTGTCACCATGAGAGTACCGACTGTCGGAAGAATTCCCAGACAGATAAGACTGCTCCCGAGACGACATCACCAGCTAGCAACCAATCTAAATAAATAAAGGAATCCAATTACCAAGAAACAAACCCCCTATTGTTCTTTCACCTTCAGAGGTTCCAAAACAGAAAGAATTCGGATCCCTCGATATGGAGATTACTCTGTCCTCACACGATAGGCGGAGGAGTAATTCCTCCTCACATTCCCGTAAACGACCGCCAATTGAACCTCCATGACTCAATTGTCGACTTAAATGCACTCAAATTGCAGGGGACTGGAGAACAACTTTAATGAGATACAAATATTAATACAAGATTTTAATCAGTCAGCATTATATCTACAAGAGGCATATCTAAATAGGTACAAATGATATCTTTAATCTAGGACAGTATAGTGATTATCACTTCTTTTCTCCTTCGGGAGATAAAGCAAACTGGAGGTGCTTCCCTGCCTCACTTAATACAATTCTTCAGACTGTTGATGTTTGTCTGTGCAGCTTGGTAATTCCTCCTTTAATATTCGACAATCGGATCTTCAATATCTCTATGATCAGTTCCCAAAGCCATATGTTATCATGGGCGACCTCAACCCGCTTTGGGGAAATGTCCATACTACTAATTAAAGTAAAATCATTGAGTAATTCATTTCCGATGACAATTTCTGCATTTCCAATGTTGATTCAGCCACTCGTCTTCATCCAACTACGGGAACATATTCTTCCCTGGACCTATCACTCACTGATTCTACCTTATATTGGTCATTATATGAGACTCTGTGCGTTTAACACATAAAACATTATCTTTTTAACAACGGTGAAGATGCTATACATTTTTTGGGATATACTAAATGACATTGCTGACAAGGCAAAGGCATCTCCATATCCGTAAACCATATTTCATGAATGTAAACAGGCCACAAAATGTAGGGGGAAAGAAATAAGAAATGTATTTTAGCCTATATCCTACTATCCATAATGTAGACAAAGTTAAAATTGCTAATGCTAAAGCTGGACATGCTTTTAAACATAATAATCGTCAGTCCTTGAGAAGTTATGTTTCCAAAATAAATTCATGGACACCCATGTCAAAGGCGTGGAACATGATCCAAAGAGTAAAGGGCGAAGGTTCCAAATCTACTGTTTATCATTTGATGGACGGTGATAATTTATTAACTAATAAAACTGGCATTGCAAATAAACTTGGGGAAACTCTTGCCAAGCATTCATCTTCAAATTATGTCCCTGACTTTCAAAAGTATCAGAAATAAGGGAGGAAAAGAATACAATTTAACTCATACAATGGTGGAGATTATAACGACCTTTTTTCGTTATATGGGCTCCAAACTGTCATTGCGCAAGCTCATGATACAGCAACAGGGGTTGATAACATACACTATCAGCTCCTGAAGCATTTGCCAGATTCATGTTTAGAATCCTAGACAATTTTGACCAAATGTCCAGCGGATTTCCCAATTTGGACCATAATGCCATTGTTGTACCTATAAGTCTGGCCAGGATCATACTGATCAGTCAAATTACAGACCAATCTCCTTAGACTCTACTAAATATACTAGAAACGTTAATACCTGTGTAATTATTTACATCATTTGTAGATCTTTTTTTTATAATTGAAAGATAACTCCAAGGCACCAGTTCTTGGAAAAAGAAGTAGAATCTAAAATCGTTTGTAAACTACGTAGGTTTATAACGAAAACGGTTATAACGAACTATGTTGCTGGCTGTATATTTTAGTCGAAATGTGTTAAACGAATCATAACGAACTAAACTGAGTGCTCCCTTTTGAGTTCGTTATTACCAGGGCATAGTGGTTAAAGCGTTAGCTCGTCACGCCGAAGGCCCGGGTTCGATTCCCCACATGGGTACAATGTGTTAAGCCCATTTCTGGTGTCCCCGCCGTGATATTGCTGGAATATTGCTAAAAGCGGCGTAAAACTAAACTCAGTCAGTCAGTCGTTATTACCATAGTATTCAGTAAATAGTTATTACAGTTATTCTAGAAGTATTACTTTAAGAACACGCTTTACAATTTCTATAGTTAACCAACCAATCCCTCCCAAGCCTGTTATTCTTTTTTTAACTTTTTAATAACAGATATATTTTTTCGACTCGGGTTACTGGAAAATCTAAGATATTTGAGGCAAGTATCAAATTGCAAATTTCACTGTGTGTCGACAGCAATTCCCTTATCACTGAAATATTCAGGCCATTCTTGTACTTCTATATTGTTACCTGAGTTTTTCAATTATAGTTTTTAAGTGTATCCCAGAAAAACTTTCAAGGTAAAATATTTCCAGCATCTCTCTGTTCTTATCAAAACAATTTAATGAGCTCATTTGCGACTTTTTGGTGTAGGCTCTGACACCGTTATCGCTTGCTTGAAGTTGTCCATCAATATATTATTATCCCTCCTTACTGCCCCAAATTCTAAATGCCTCTATAGGTAGGACAACGAGATAGTGAGAGGGTTTAGTTTTACGCTGCCTTTAGCAATATCCCACCAAGAATTTGCTTTACTAAACCCAAGATAACAGCATAAACGGTGAACAATGATAATTATATGATGTGCATCTTTACGTTGGGGACTGTTATAGAACTGACGGTTAGTTGGAAGAACGTGAGTATGTGAGTAAAAGCACTAAGATAAACTGCTTGTTCCAACATCTCACAAACCGTCACTGTCACTGTGTAAAATCAACATGGTTTGTCGTGTTGGACTTGTCTGACTCACTCAGCTTTCCATAATAGAGCGATGCCATGTTAACATTCTCGAAAGGAGGGGTACACAAAGTACGTGATTCAGATTATGTGCTGATCACTTAAAACATGATGTATTAACATTTCCACATATTCGGAAACCATAGTTTACTAATGACTGTAAACAGGCCAGAAAGAGTAAGACGAAAGCTGAAAAATATTTGCGGTTGAATACATGAACTCAAAAACTGTACAACAGTATGGGATATCTTGGTACACAAGCTGTGATGGGTTCGAGATACCCATGATCACCTCAATGAACACACACTGTGCAAAGATGGTCCTTCAAGGATAGACAAATGTCCTGTAACATGGCAAAGTTGATAATATTTACCAGCTATCATATTTGCAAAATGTCACCATTACTGAGGAGGCCTTGTTTAGGCAATCTTCCTATGCCCTGTTGAATGTGATAGGAGCCTCTGCCCTTTGTACACAATGTGGTATAAAGTCTTATAGCAAGAAAACATATTTAGGCCGACATCCTATAGTCCATAATTTAGATAAGCTAAACATTGTCAGTGCCAAGGCTCCACGCACCTTTAAACAAAATAAGCGCCAGTCTTGGAGGAACTATGTTTCCAAAAATAGTCCCCGAACACCGATTTCAAAGTTGTGGAACATGGTTCAAAGAATAATTTGGAAAGGTTCAAAATCTACTGTTCACCATCTCGAGTGAGTGAGTTAAAATGTATCGTCACATCAGCAATATTTCAGCCATATCGTGACGAGAGAACCTTATACAGCAATAAAAAAAAGTATGAAATATATTCAAAGGTTATAAAATCATGTCGCCAAAGGACAGTACAACAACTAGTACATCACATTTTATTTAAAACTAGTTCTCCCGTAAACACAGACTGCATAAAGAGACAGAACTATTTTTAAACCTGTTAAGGAAGCCAAGTTCTTTTACTCACACTTAACGTTTCTGCCACATATTGAATCCCTAAGAGGAAATGCCAAAAGGCACTTGACTTGTTGAAAGTCGTTTCCAATTCAAAGTGGGGAGGGGGATCAAGCTACCCTCCTACACCTATATCGATCACTGGTCCGTTCCAAACTTGCTTATGGCTCCATCGTATATGGTGGAGCCTGCAAAAGCAATCTAAAACAATTAGATTCTGTCCACCACCAAGGTCTGAGACTAGGTCTTGCTCTACGTCGATAAGCCAGCTCTTCACCAACGCCGTTATAAAATTATCCTTGCAGTGTATAGCAACATTATATTTGGAACCAGTCAAATCCTGCATTTAACTGTGTTTTAATCCTCTTTATGAGGATCTGTACAACAAGAAGTCTTCTATTGTTCCACCTCTTCGATTAAGAGTCAAAGCTTTCATTTCTTTTTTCTCATTGGCAATTGGTTAGGCGACTTAGCATTAACCACATTTTAAAGAATTAAAAACATTTAAAATGAATTACAATATAGACAAGAATGTAATCAATAAAAACGGGAAATTTAGTACATGCAAATCCGTATTTACAAATGGGTCCAAAGGTGGTGGCGCAGTTGCTTGTGCCATTGTCGTTGGATCCATAACAATATCTTCTGGAATACCGGATAACAGCTCTATTTCTACAGCAGAAGCAAACGCCATGTTAACAGCTCTTAAATATGTTCAAAGACACCCTAAACATAAACAATATATAATCTTTTCAGACTCTCTTTCGTGCCTTCAGTTTATTAAAAACGTATCCAGTAAACATCCACTTTTAATTGAAATTATTGAATTATATAATGAACTTGCAAATTGGTCTTTTGCAGGTTACCAAGCCACTTTGGCATTTCCGGTAACACAATGTCTGATCTTGCTGCGAAAGCAGTACACAACAAATATGTGACACCCCTTCTTATTTCATACACTGATTATATATAAAGCTGGCATTAGATCTTATATCCGTGATCTGATGCAAAAGACACCCAAGTAGGCATCAATAAACTACATGAAACAGAATCAATTTGTTACAACTACATGGGTTGTCAGTCCAGATGATGGTCCTCTGATTTGCATCCGTTGTGATGAGCGATTCACGACCAAGCATGTCCTTCTTGACTGTGTTGATTTGTCCATCACACGGGATACATATTTCAATGTTAAAACAATGAACCATCTCTTTAATCATGTTGATCCTCATTTAATCCTTGGATTTTTAAAAGAAATGCAATTAGATTTTAATTATGTGTAGATAGTTGAGTTTGAATATCGGTAGAGTTTAAGTTCCAACCTCGATGGTGAGAGGCTGTATCCGAAGGGTGTTAAAGTATTATAAAAGTAATACGGAAGTCCCTAAAGCTTCAGAGTAAATTTCGACGTACAAAATTTTAGTCGTAGAATATTTGTTATAGAATGTATATCTTTCTCTCTCACACACACACACTTTCTCTGTCTCTCACACACACTCTCTCTGTCTCTCTCTCATACACAACAATATTGAAAGTCAATATGCCAGCATTAAGGGACTGTGTCGCATTCAAACAGCTACGTCCAGGCAGGAAGAACCAATATCTACATATTGGATGTAATCAAGTCGCCTAAATTATTCAGGTTCCACAGAATTGTTGTTATACGTCGCTGAGTTCAATACTGTATTATTCCTTCCGTGTAAAATAGGTGTGTTGTACGCACACCACAACATAATCTACTTTTGTTTTACAGACAATATACTTATGGACCTTAGTTAAGTACCCCCAACATATTTCATCACAGTAATGTAGCTATCGGTGATGATGGTGTGTCAATCATGCCAGTGTTTAATAGCGCATTTCAGGTATTGAAAATACAGTTTCATTTTGAAAGGGTTTGTCGAAACCGAGCCCACAAACATGTAAAGCTTGCTACCCAGTCAGTTATGTGACGAAAAGCAGCGAACGTTGTCGTGCTGTTCTCAATCAATGCATATAGATAAATATGTATCAGTAAAGGCTATTTCTATTGATGTTTTATGTCTAATTCCGCTGTAGAAATCAGCGGAACTCATTTTGCAATCTTGCGGGTTTTTTAGAGTGAGTGAGTTTAGTTTTACGCCGCACTAAGCAATATTCAAGCTGTACGGCGGCGGTCTGTAAATAATCGAGACTGGACCAGACCAATGATCAACAGCATGAGCCTCGATCTGTGCAATTGGGAACCGATGACATGTGTCAATCAAGCCAGCGATCCTGACCTCCCCATCCCGTTGGTCGACTCTTACGACAAGCATGGGTTACGGAAGGAAAATTCTAGCCCGGACCTTCACGGGTAGGCGGTTCTTGAACAACATCAGATCAGTTTTATACCTGAAGTTCACTTAAACATGTTTGTCAAATTATCTTGTTTTCACTCTGTCAAACCAAAAAGAAATCCCCATCCAAAGGCACAAAGAAGCAGATTCGAGATGAGAGGAGAACATCTGCTGCCCAGGAGAATGCTGTCTCGGTGTTTCACACCAAAACGATACGTAGATAGTATCAACGAGGAAGTAAAACATTTCCACATATTGTTTTCTTTAGATGACATTTTCTTTCCGTTTGACAAATTGTCCCAAGACTGTGCACTTAGTTATCTAACTATATCTGAGCTCTTCACGTTTCGTAACAGATGTATCATCAATGAATGATTACACAATGCCATTTAGAAAGAGATCAAATGTAACATATGTTATATTTGGGATTACACTTTCTTAGCAAAGTACAAATTTAAGTAAACGAGACGCGGTGGGTGAGTGGGTTAGGTGGCTGACTTGTGTACTGACGATTAGGTGCCTGACTCTGAGGATGTGGGTTCGATTCCCGGATGGGACTCAACCCAATCTGTACTAGAACATGTACTTTTCTAAGAAAGTGTGAGGTGAGTATGCGTGTGTATGTGTATATGCGGCTGATTGTACTAGCCCAGACCGAAGCTGGTTTTAAAGTGCTAGCTCACTGAGATACCATGCCGTAGTGAAGCATGAATATTCCACTCAGACACATTTATACTGACTCCGAGCCGACCAGTCCTTGTTGTACCCATTAATGCCGAGCGCCAGGCAGGGACCAACAAGTACCATATTTTAACGTCTTTTGGTATGACGCGGTCGGGGATCGAACCCGCTACCTTCCGCTCTCCGGGCGGACGCTCTTACCACTACACCACGGAGGCGGTCTCTAAGAAAGTGTAATCCCAAATATTACATATATGATATATGATATCTTACATCGTCAATGAAGTTCATCATGCTGTACGGTGATGTACAGCGTTGACATTTTGTTTTCTTTTTACCTATCTGAACACCATCCGTTTCTGAAATTGTAAAGATTCCAGCAAATCTTTTGAGCTTTTGAGAATCAACAACCGAGGTGATCCTTGTGCAATAGTACTTTAACCCAGAAGACCGGCGACGTATTTGCTACGTCGCTTCCAGGTCACATTGAGGCTGCCGTGTCGCAGTCGCAATGCGACGTTGTATGGACGTGGCAGACAAGTCGCGTTCTAGTTCGGTTTTCCATAGGCATGGACCTGTCGCCTCAGCGTGGCTGTACTACGTTTGAAGGTCAACGACAGGTAACGCTTCGATCAGTGCATTTTGTGCGGAATTGGCACCATTCCAGTGGGAAATTTTAACTATATATTGCATATACTTATCCTATCTCACGCTTACCACCTCTCTCTCTGGCTTTGACACTGAGTGGAACGACTGCAAACGTTTACCCTTGGGCCTCTCTTGTCCATTCGCCCGTGCACTTCATACTGCTCTCCTTATTAGGCAACATACCACAACTCTAATCGAAGCATGCAGTACACTCCAATACCCACCCTCTGAATGCTCATGAGTAGTGGGGAGGCTGGGTGGGCATCCATCTCGTGAGATATAATAAGTATATAAATATACAGTTTCCCAATTTTTTAAATCTCATGCTTAGCACTTATTCCATGGTTGGACGGCTGGTCGCAGATAACCCTATGTCTTGGATAGTGTGAACAGCAAATAGAACAGTTTGTAGTTTATTGACAGCCTTAGATAGCGATGCACATGTGAGGCCTGTTACGACTGTAAGGAACTGTATGGAAAACCCATTGGCTTACTAAGCGCAACGACTCCAGGGTGATGTGTGCTCCCGGACGATGTGGTCTTCAGCCGCAACCTTTGTACAAGACAAAGAGATGCAACTCGGCAAGTAGGCATCACCTCGCAACAGTTTACAAGGTACCCCTGTAATTAAAGTCTTTCAACTAATAATGGGGCCAGCTCCTGTTTCGAAACAGCCCCTAAGGCCACCATGATGTAGAGGATTAATAGAAAACTGAATTAGAGAGCTCACAAGTTTTAATGTACAGTCAAATTCACCCTCACTCCTCTACATAACTTTAGTCAAAGGATGTGCCTGGCAACTTAGGAGCCAGAACGGAACAAAATCCACTGGAATTCGAGAATGACACACTTCACTGATGTAATTACTCCTAGGAGTAGAGGTCAGTGAATGTGAATGTTGAACACCTCTGTATCGGAGGTTGGAATAAACGTTGACATAACATTCATACTTTTATTCAGCAGATACAAGGGAGCAGTAGACCGGATGTGGTACCGCCTTTCATCTGCACTGGTGGGCCGATGTTAGCTGCTGAGCCAGTATGGGGTCCAAACTGGTGTGACTATTGGACACCGTGACGACAGGTCCCGCAAGCAATGTGAAGAGAAGAATGTATCAGAACGCCAGAAGCAGTTGCTTTGAGGAGCCATCGTCGAGGCTAATACACGTGTTTGGTGAGAATTGGTGTCGGCTGGAGTTTGTAACTCTGCAAAGGTTTAAGCTCGCATCCAGGATATAGTAGTCCGGGAAACTTCAGCACTAGAAGCAGATGACAACGGAATGAAGAGGCGCTTCCGTAGCCGTCTATGGTCCTTGGAGGCGGCAAGGCAGATGCGTAGAGCCCTAACAGGGCAGAGTGTGAAGTCTTCAGTATGATCAGGCCCATGTATAGTGGACAACCGGGGATTTATGAACGTTCGATCCAGTTGCCCTGGCAACTGATTTGTCGCAATGAAGTCCCAATGGAGGGCTAGGAAAACCATGTCATGCTTCTTCTGCTTGAACCTCACGTAATTGACATCAATCTCGTGAAGTTCTGAAATATGAGTATCAGTAGCCAAGACTACCAGGAAGAAAGTCACGAAGGTCACTTGCTCAAAATCCTTGTCCCCAAAAGGTTCGTAGTCTTCGGACACCAGATGAAGTATGACAACAGAAAAGACCCAGGCCGGAGGTCTGAACTTCCAAGAGTGGACCATTAGTCTGTAAGAGCACACAGATACTGCAGCTCGAGAACAGTGAGTGGGTGAGTGAGTGAGTGAGTGAGTGACACATCGGCTATATTGCTGCCACATTGTGACAAAAACTAGTTCTTAATTCATTATAAATTCATTATTTTGCGGCCTTTCGGCGACACAGGGTTTTCTATAAATTTCTCTATCACCTGGAGTCAAAAAAGAAACTTCTCAAAATGTAATTTGAAAAATAATGAATATTTTTTCTCTGAAGATACATCTATGTATCCGAAATGGGATCCCTATTTTTCGACTCTAGAAAAAACGTGAGCAAAACCTACTCAAACCCATCCATTCGTCGTGCAAATGACGTTAGTGCCAAATCAGGTTTTGCAAGTGCAATCGATCACGTGATCTTCGCATCGAAGTTTTCTTCATATGCACGTGTTTGCATTGGCCTGAAGAATTGAAAAAAACACTTTTAAACCACAGTTCTAACGGTACTTGAAATGCCACGATTGTCAAATGTGCCGTGGCATGTCACAAGCGGGAAGATCAGTTATTGACGTCACAAGAGCAATGGGATGCAGCCGTCGTACTGTGTATGACTTGCAAAGTCGTCTACAACAAACTGGCACAACTTCTGATCGCCCAAGGTCGGGTCGTCCACGTGTGACGTCACAAGCAGAAGACCGTCAAATCGTCCTACATCACCTACGTGACAGATTTCTGCCGAATACACGAACCAGGGCTGAGATGTTTAGAGGTCGACTGTCCTCACAGACCATTCGAAATCGGTTGCAGGCTGCCAATCACCATTCTCGACGTCCATATCGTGGGCCAATATTGACGCCGTTTCACCAACGTCAACGTCTGCTGTGGGCCCAACGTCACCTCCGATGGACCTAGACAGACTGGAATCGAGTCGTCTTTAGCGATGAATCCAGGTTAACCCTCAGATTCTCGGACAGCATGCATAGAGTCTGGAGACGACGTCGAGAATGGTATGCCCAATGTTGTGTACAGGAAGTCGACTGATTCGGGGGTAGAAGTTGCATCGTGTGGGGTGCTTTCTGTGGGAACAACCGTTCCCGACTTCTGGTCATCCGTGGAAACCTCACAGCTGCTGCTTACCGCGTCCAGGTGCTCACCCCTGAACTCGTTCCTTTCATGGCGGCTCATGGCCCAGGTCTACAGTTCCAGCATGATAATGCTCGGCCGCATACCACGATTTGACACGAAATTTCCTTCAAAACGCTGGAATCAACGTCATGGACTGGCCATCGAGGTCCCCTGACCTTAATCCAATAGAGCACGTTTGGGATGCACTTGGGAGAAGGCTTTGTGGTCTTAGGAACCAACCTCAGAATTTGCAGGAACTTGGCGCTGCCTTGCAAGAGCAATGGCGCAGAATCCCCAACCACGTGTTCACAAGCATCAGGCAGTCGATGAGGAGACGGTGTTTTGCAGTGGTGAATGCGCGGGGCGGCCATACACGATATTGAACTGAGAAATTTCGCATTTTTATTCTTGTGACTTGACATTCTGTATACCCATGTTTTGGAACGGCGGTGTAGCCTAATGGAACTGATTATGGCACTGTCAGTGTATCGAGTGCATCACACAGATCTCAGCAATTAAATAATAACAATTTAACCATCTTACCATCTCTTGTTCTTTTATAGTGCCGTGACGAAAGAATGTGAAGTTTCTTTTTTGACTCAGTATGTTCAATAAGAAACAATAGATAAATTATTGTCTCGATATTTACTATTAAGTTTTGTACTGGGTTTTTTAAGTATACATATCAACGTCGAAATGAGCACTTAGCTAATAATTCAATGATGTCTATAGATATTGTGGGAGCTGACAGACAACACTAATATGCCACCAAGAACACGTTTAAATACTTAAAACATTGATACTTCAATCAAAATAACACTGTAATAATCTGTAAATAAATTGAATTCATGTTCCACACGAAGGCCCGCTCACGTTTTGTGTCAATTCGGATCCCGTTCGCTCCAGTTTTCGCGCACTACACGAGGTGACTTGACAGCACAAAGCTATGGGAAATGCATGGTTTGTATCGTAATCGGGGTATTTTGTTGAAAACAGCTGCGTGTAAAATTAAATCAAAGGCGATGCTTGTCTGATGACAGAATTTATTTCAAAATTTCGCAAGTGGAAGAAATTTTTTGCTAGTAACTTGATCACGACTGTGAGGTCACGTATCATGTTGCCACTTGATGCACACCTAGATTATCGTTTAGTCTCTGAATATATAAAAGTTTGATAGTAACAAACAAACCCATTATAAATTAAAAAGGAGCCCCAGGGAGACCAGAGAATCAGACCTGAGGAAATCTAGACTTGCTTCATGTTGTGCCTAGCATTGCAGAAATAGCTAGGCAGTAGGGAAAATAGCATTGTGGTTCAGGGACTGTGAGACAGACTAGATCCCCACCCCGAATCACAGAGCATTATATGTTCACTCAGTGGGTGAAATTGACCTTTTACTTTTAGGCCAGTGTACATCCTTGTACTTAGACGCATATCCAGTCGGTCATCATATAGGGAACCAAATGATTCATAAACCACTTGTGATCAGTCCCGGTGTGGCCAAAAAACAACCTCAAAACGGCTCTCATTCTGAAGCCTGATATTCAGGGTATCAGACTGACTTTTCGCACCGATATATTTTTTTTCTTATTTTAAATATATATTTACCAAATAATAGATAAATTAATACAGTCCACAACCATTACTAATTTCAGGAACTAACCAAATCCGTAAGACTTGAATTCAGTAAAATTACATATTGACCAAATGTAGAGATAGCATAACACATTACAACCGGTTTTATCACCCACACTGCATATTTTGACTGCATCAGTGCTTGTCACCCTCTATTAGACCATGGTGCTAGTACTCATTGACTTGGGTTGCTCAAATAATGAGCTGATACTGCTGTGTTGAGGAAGACTTTTAGATGTAGTTTCATGATGTCACTCTCCGTTGTCGCCCTTTGCTGTTTCCTCTGATAGCTGAACTACACATTTTAACATCAGCTACACGTTTCCTAAATGTTAATGCAAAGGAAATATGCATCTGCTCTCTTGATCATAATTGTTTCAGTTACATTATTTATATCAAGAGTTTCTAACTTTCAAATATAACATTTTGAACTCATCCTTTGAATCCTGTCCCTTAGGGTGTTTATGTGCAGTATATATCCTCCACTGGTCTATCAGGGTAACATATTAGTGTATAGTGATGAAATGTATATTTTGCACCATTTTCATGCTAATAATACTAATTACCTTAATCTGGGTACAAAGATTGTAGCCTACAACCTTATTACCTACAAGTAATGGCTGTCTGGGTCAAAACATGTTTGTTTTTAGTAACCTGATACATTTAGTGGCTGGTTATGACAAGAATTTATAATTACCGGATAACACTTTACTGCTGCTGAGAGATCCTAAAAGATAAAAAACCTTTCTTGCATTTGGCCCAGGACTATAATCTTGTCAGTCTACATGCCACTGCCACTCAGCCAGCAGAATTATGACCAATACACCCTCCTACTGAGTGTGACTCAACTGACAACCATAAATGTTGGTTACGTTGTATTTTTCTGCACTCGGTCCAAACTTGGTATAGTTTACATGTACTGATGCACTTGAATCTATTAATTGAATAGTTAGCATGAATGCAATCAGAATTCCCTTTTTGAGCTTTCGTAATGCCATTGCAGATATATGTTTGTATGTTTAATGCAGGAAAATGTCCTCATGGAGGTGAAGTTTAACATTTCTTTCAATACAAACAGTAGGAATTAAAGCCTCTTCCTGTTGTTAATGGCTTTGTAAAGGTAACTTACAACAGATTCAGAAATGCCTCTTTGATGCATCTATTCAGGTAGTGTGCTATTCATTGGCTAGTAGTTTGCACTGTCGACTAATATCAACATCTCTCAACAGCACTGGGCAGACAGTATTGATATAAATCATAGAATCGATGATTGTTATTAGGAATAGTAACTTTGAACAAAAGTTAACAAGAAATCTGAAAGAAATCAACATATTTTGTATTTCTGGTGAGTTTTGACATTTTGCATGGATGACTAACAAAATCGTGAACATTATTTAGAAGCAACCCATGAATAAAGACATAACTTTGTATATTGTGTGAGTAAATTGAAACTATGATATTATGGGTATTCTTAAATTCCATTCAAATTGACTTGATGGCACAAGTTTTCTCCTTTGGTCACCCTTTAAATCAAGTTCAAAGTTGACAAAGACTGTAAAAAGTCAGGAAAGGTCTAGTCTGTCGTCATAGTTCCTGAACTGCATTATTTTTACGTCCGTCTATGCTTTTCTGCAATGATAAAGCCCTAATTGAAGCAAGTCTAGATTTACTTAGGTTGGAATCTCCCATCTCACTTGAGCTCCTTTTCAGTTTAAAGGGAATTGTTTGTTTCTATCAAACTTATACATATTCAGAGACTAAGTGCTAGTCTCAGGTGGTCCTGGTAGACGTGGAAATCATATCAAATCCAGTTTATGCCTGGTAAGTTAATTTTATTTTACAACATTTTCTGAATATGAAACATTGTAAATTCATAATGTATGCGTGTTGTGAGGTTGATAACTATATCTAGTAGTATTTTAAATAACTTATCAGTTCAGAAGAATATATATAATTTCTTAAGCTCAGTTTTGAATTTAAGTTCATAATCATTTTGAAAATAATATTGTTAACATTTTAATGTTACATAATGCAGACAATTATGAATGGGATCAAGAGACGTTGAGGTTGGCAGAGGAGAAATGTCATCTTCAAATTGCGGAATCAGAGGAGGAGCCTTAACTTGGCGAAAACGGAACCATAAAAAAATTATCAATTAAATATTAGCTCTAAATTAAATGTATAAATAAAACTTTACGTTGCCTATGTATAATACTGGCAACGTTGTATAATAACTAAGTGCTCAACGATAATGATTTAAAATGTATACTTGCTGTTGACATGGTTGACTCTTCTGTTCACATCTATCGGCTGACCAAATAAACTTGTCTCTTCTCAAAACATTAAGAACTTGTTGTTTTTAATGCAGTTATTAGTTTATTCTTGGTACTTAATGCACAGGCTACAAGTATAAACATGTTACTTATCAAAACATTTTATAAACACTAGTTAATGAACACGCCTCATGCATATTATTCCAAAGAAAACAGCGGCGTCTTTGATGGGTTGACAAGCTTCATTAAAACAACAACTCATGACTGCTCTGTTACAACTCAATGTCATGATACATGCTATATAAGACGTGGTCATTCGTCAAAATGTACAAGCGACAATGGCTGTTAGGAACTTGACTTGCGAGAAGACTGTCCGCCGAAATCAACACGCTATCACTTGTGATGGATGCGGAGGATGGACACACAGGATCTGTGGCACTGGCCTCAGCGTCCAGAGATACAGGGAGATTTGTTCAAGCGGCGAGGACTAACCCTTCCTTTGCAGTAAATGTTCAAGGCCTTCAGAGACAATTGAGGAACTCATTGAAGCGACAGGCATCAACTTAGAGATAAGTTTGCAGTCGGACCATCCAGAGGACCAGTCAGTTGAAATGGAGCAGGAGCAGTCTGAGGACCAGCCGGCCGAAATGGGTCACGGGACCAGAGTCCCAGACCTGTCTGATATAAGCATCTCTTCAGCTTACATTCCCGATGACCAAGATATCACACAAGAACGGTAATTTGGAAAAAATAGAGTGCTAACATTAAAGTACAATGTAATGTAATGTACTGATATTGTGATGTAATGTAGACATGTCCTGCATCGGTGATACAGAGAGGGGGGAAAGCTTTTCAGCCGGAAAGCACACACACAACCATCATGCAGAGCCGGGGATATTGACATCTGTGAAAGTTAGAGCTGAGGTGAGAACAATTGGTTATTTAACTGCTTTGAGGGATTAATTAGGTGTGAGCTACTGAGAATATTTAATTGGTTAATTAACTGACTGCTTTGCGGGGATTAATTAGACGTGAGCTACTGAGAATAGTTAATTTAACAATTAAATGATCTCACTCAGATCAAGGACAAGGCTGTTGCTGATATATACAAGTCCGGCACATCCATTGTAGAAGATGGACCACACAGAGCCTGGCGGTCGACAGAAACAGTCAACACTAGTCCGAATGGCAAACAGAACCCGCGAGAAACGCGACCTAAAGGATCTTTCTAAAGGAACCTAAGGATCTTTCTTTCGAAGTAGGATCAATATTAGATTCATTTAACGTTTTGAAAACAGTGTTATGTTAATATTAATATTAAATGTATTTATATTTGTATACAACTTCATATTGACGTAACATGTTAATGTATAATCTAACATATCTAACATATTGTATTTTATATTTCTAGCTTGCTGAGGACTTTCTTCCCAGAGGCTTTGTGAGGGCAGACATTGAGAACAAAGGCGAGAGGCACATACTCCTAGCTACTGACCAGAAGTTATCCATGTTAAGCAGGAGCAGACAATGGTTTGTAGATGGAAAATAGTACGGGGCTCCCTTCTACCAGCTGTTGTCTGTTCATGCTTTTGTGAGATCTGGACAAGATGCAAAGATGTTGCCTCTCGCTTAAATTGTTA